GCAGATGGGGTTGTGCTTTCCCACCACCAAAAGGCCAACCACCTGGCCCGCATGCACGCTGCAATAGCTCGAAGGCACCCACGATCCTACTCCCCACCCCCAATCAAAACAAGGGATGAGGGCTTTCAACCAATAACAATGGCTGGGCGTGATCGCGCTCTGCGCATCCTGCCACCAGGATCTGCACCGGGACCCGACATGATCCGTAGGGAGGCACTGCGACACGTTGGAAAATGTGCAAAACACTCTGTCCTGACGCTATTCAACAAGAGCTTGAGTACTGGCGTCGTCCCACAGAGCTGGAGACACGGGATTATAACCCCACTTTTCAAGCTGGGCAAAAAAGCGACTGAACTGGCGTCGTACAGACCAGTGACGCTCACCAGTTGCCTCTGCAAACTAATGGAACGTATTATAGCGGCACGCATTTGTGATGTTATAGAGCCAAAGCTCACACCACAGCAGTGCGGAGTTCGACCATCCCACTCCACACCGAACCAACTATTGCACCTTCGGGCGGTAATGCATCGCCCGACTCCTAAAGATAGAACGACCACAGTGTTTGTGGATTACGCCAAAGTATTCAACACAGTCGATAATGATAAAATCATACTCGAAATGCGACGGCTTGGCGTACCGCAACATATAGTGCGTTGGTCAGCATCCTTTCTGGGCAATGGGACGGCAGTAGTTCGCGTAAACAAGGTACACTCCTCTCCGATATGCTTCACGAGAGGTGTGCCACAAGGCACGGTTCTTGGGCCACTCATGTTTGTTATTGCCATGAATTATCTCAGCGTCCGCTTCACTGAAGCCCCGCTTCTACGACACGGCTTCTTCGCGGACGATCTCACCCTGATTCCCCGACACAGCGACCGAGAGATCCTGACCTCCACCCTACAACAGGGACTAACACCAGCACTTTCGCTACTTCCGCCGCCTGCAATGTACAAACACAGAACACAAATGCCCACGGGAGGTTGAGGAGAATGCTACAGACTCGCCCTTTCAATGAGAACACTCTGCGTTCAGAGCCCTAGCCAATGTGGGGCTACTTTCCCACATCCGTGCCAAGCATCGTTCCCCCCACCAGAGCTGACACGCGAAGCGGCACCCCAACCCAAGGTATATTGTACAAT